AGGCTCTACCTTCAGTCATTGAGAAGGATTTTAGTGAGCTAACCTCATCGCCCTCTAGTTTCTCTTGTGCGTCCGTTTTTTCCGTCTGCTAGCCCAATTATTGGATCAAAATACGTCAAAATCTGCAAGATCGTCAATAAATGGTGAAAAATCGTTACAGATCCGTGATTATAGGTATGTTGTGGAGTGTGTAATTGTGTATTTGTTATACATTTTATTCCATAGATATTTGTTTTCTTTTTTTTCCCCTTTTTTTTTCTTCTGGTAATTTTCTGACTTGGACGACGAGCGCACAAATCGTAGGCGTAGAAGCCTTACGCCCGGGCATTGGCCTCCCTACTAAATGTTCATTATTGTGAAAACTTCATTATTACTAAATGTTCATTATTGTTATAACTTCATTGTTATTATTATTTGTGACGGTTCATTATTGTGATAACTTCATTGTTATTATTATTTGTGACAAGTTCATTATTGTGATAACTTCATCGTTATTATTGTTTGTGACGGTTCATTATTACTTTTATTTGTGACAAGTTCACAAGCAAAAATTGGCGTCTCCAACAGCGAACTGCACCTCGCGCCCGTGTGAAGTTATCTACCGTAATGTGGGTCTGAGACATTACGGTAGATAACTACTTCACACAGGCGTCCGCGTCCGCCCGCAACCCACCATAGGTATGTACTTGTATTGTGCTTTATTATAAATAAATGAGTAATAAAAAAAGCATAGAAGAGAATCAATGCTAACGCGTATTGACCTCTACTCTAGCACTGCATACTTGCTGAGAGGCAGGTATTATACACAGTTAAACACACCGCACCCTATTGCATACTGCACACAATAGCAGCAATTGGGCTGATCGGCAAATTTGACACTAGACTAGGGTCTAGACTTACAATTTGAATTTTTATATTGTTCTTTTTAACATTAGTGTCTAGATCTAAGTTATCGTATTTTAATTTTAGTACTAGTAGGTGTCATCAATTGTCATTAAAGTACCGATTCTTAGTGAAATCACTTGAGTTTTGTACAGTGGTGTTTGAAATGTTGAGAATAAATAGCAAAGCTTTTAATACACAGCCAGGATAGATAGTAATGCAGCCATGTGTGGATTTTGGTATTGGCCTCCCTATTAAACAACAAGCCTACACATGCTATGCTAGCCTACAGCAATGTCAATGGCATGGGACTGGGCAGTGCAGTATACGAGTTTACTTACGCGTCGATCACGACAGCCGCCGCTTCAGTGACGGTCAATCTTTCTTTCCGTGCAATTTCTTGGAGCTTTTCAAAGTATTCCAACTTCAGATTTAACCTTTCAAATCTTTCCCTTCTTGCTTTCGTCACCCGCTTCTTCTCGGAATTAGTTTTCATCCGCTTCGGCATCGGCATGTTGTCAATTGCGTCGCATAGGCCTACATCTACTTGTACGGTACGCTTACGTTGATTGTTCATCAACTACTAAAATCAATGCAGCTAGCTAGCTAGCTAGCGCTAGCCGGGCCCCATGCCTAGCGCGCTGGCGAGCCCAGCTAGCCCGGAGGTCCGGGCGGCTGGATCGCATCGGAGTACAGTGCGCGCCGGCCAGTACAGTATGCCCACGTCAAATGCCTGACGACTCTGTTGCCTGCTCTGTCGGGAGTCGCTGCCGCCGCTGCTTGGTCGCTTCATTCAGCTAATACGCGGTACATCTTGTACTGAAAGAGGGAGGTATGCCTAGAGTCTACCGTTACATTTTCAAAACCGTTTGGCAAACGGTTTTGAAATTTAGATTTTCTATCATAAATATCTTGATAATCAGACGGGCGATTGACTTGTGAAACTCACGGAATTCATGTACCGTATGACCCGAAGGTTTATAATTATGATTGCAGCATGGCTAATTAAATCAAGAAATTATAAAGGGCCCTATAATAAGTGGGGTTCAGAGCACCCGGAAGCTCAGGGCTTTAGACAATTAATTACGGTCAGATGAGCATATTTTTATACCTTTGACTTTGTGACACTGGCAGGTCACTCATTTTTTTCTTTCTCTATAACATACTTTTTCAAAAAAGTGAGAAGTTTTTAGCAATAAAATTGGGTTGGGGGCGGAAGGATACCCGCCCCCCCCCCCCCCCCATTTTTGACTGAGGGTGATGAATTTCATTGTATATTATTTTGTTTGTGTGTCCTCCTCGTGTTACTCTTTGTCTTATTCACTATTTTGTTCGAGTCCTATTTTCAGGCAGTACGCGTGTCTGCATATTATTTACTTTTTTTTGTTATGTTAGAATGCTTTATAGTTTTACTCTAGCCGGTAGTTTGATATATCTATACTCAGAGATTTAGACATTTCTCTGTACTCGACTCTCTTACCCTCTAATAATCTCATTCTAATGTTCTGCTGATGTATCTTTCTCCAGTGCGATATATCCCCCCTTTCTCTCTCAAAATAATTAAAAAATTTATCTGTAGGTCTACGTCTCTCTTTACCATAAAAAAAAAAATCCTTTCAATTTTCTGCACATGGTTTACCATCTAATATCTCCTTTTAATCTTCTGCTGATCCCATCTTCTCTATACTTCGATATCTTCCTCTCTCTCTCTCTTCAGATATTTTGACATTTCTCTGTAGGCCTATGCTTCTCTTACCCTCTAATACCTTCTAATTCTCCTGATCCCCCTTTCTCAAGTCCGATATCTTCCTCTCTTTTCAGATATTAAGCAAATTTCTATTTAAATCTCTCTTATCTTCTATGTCTCTCAAAGCAGTCATGATTACTAAAATATCTTCTTCTGATCCCCTTTCTCAAGTCCGATATCTTCCTCTCTCTCTCTCTCTCTTCAGATATTAAGAAAATTTCTCTATAAGTCTCTCTTATCCTCTGATATCTTCTTAAAATCTTCTGCTGATTCCTCTTTCTCTAGTTCGATCTCTCTCTCTCTCTCTCTCTCTCTCTCTCTTTCTCGCTATCTCTTAATATTTATCTAAATAACTTGAGGATGGATATTCAGGCAGTCACATCTCCAGTGAAATAGAAACTACAAAATCTCCATAGACACATCAATACCCAAATATGAGAATTGGTACAATAATAAACACAACAACCAAGATCATGTCATTAATTAAGTCTTCAGCAGGGTTTTAATCCACCTCAATGTACAACCTTCCAGGACAGGTATTTTCTTAAAGGCCAAACTGATCACATGCTGTTCTTCAAATTGGCAACAATTATACATGTACTTATTTTTAAAGGGCAAGTCCACTCCAAAAATAACTTACTTTCAATAAAAGCAGAGATATCAGACAAACCAATTGAAAAAAGTTGCCCTTTAATTGGTAACTTTCCTAGAAATTTAATGATTTTGAACCTCTCAAAGCGTTGGCAATTTATGCATTTTACAACTCACTTTCTTTTCTAAGAACATGATAATGTTAATAATTATTAATATTATCATAATTATTTCAATCATATTGATAATCATAATATCATAATTTTTATCATAATAATAGTCATAACAATAATAATAAAAATAATATTCAAAGTAATAATCATCATAAAAGTGAGTTCTTGTATAGTGCTCATGTCGGTCAGACTTGACAATCCTGATGCTCAACCATTATTACCCTGGCTTCAGCATGGTTGCCATTAATGAACTCTAGCATTTCAAGGAATCTGGGTCGTGTGTGGCAAAATTATATTAATGTCTTGCCAAAGAACATTCATGAAAAGATGGGACTCGGACTGCAAACCATGTGATCCACAATCCAGTGACATAATCACTAGACCTCCACAATAATAACAACAACCATCAATAAAATATAAGGTTGGCAAACTTTACATAGGGTACCTGTAGGTGATACAAATCTAGCACCAAAAAAAAACAAAACACCATTTTATTATTAATTATTCAACATTGCAAGCTACATTTGATTTTTCTTAGTTAACCTTGATAAATATTACTTTGGCATAATTTAGAAAACAATAAAACACTTTGGAGATAGAACATGTACAAATGACCCCCAATATATTGACAGATCTTTCAAACATGGAGAGGTTTGTAGAATATTTAGTTACTGCCAAGGTGATAGAAGTGCTACATAAATACATTTTGTTTGCCCTCTTGAAAAGGAAACTTCCACATGTGTATTGTGTATTATAGAATGTACTACATGTAGCTGTCGGTGCATAGATGACATCATTTTCACAAATATATCATGTATCCACTTGATTACGAAACCCTTATACATCAGGACAAAAGACAACATAGACAAAAAAACATATGATGAACTTTCATTTGCCCATGCTGCCCGAGTTAAATTTAATAGCCTCTTAGAAAGACTAATACAATAGATAAGTTTCAGTCTGCCCTCAAAACACACTTACATTCCAAATCATTAAAAGATAAAAAGGAACTCAGTAACTATTTTTTCATTTGCCTTCTTTGTAGCTTTTTTCTTACCAAGCGCACTATAGGGACATGCTTATGTAATGTGTTATGATCTTTACAAGAATATTGTTTCAAGTATTATTGTATCAAGTATTATTATTAGTACGTACAAGGACTGACACCCATACAAAACAAACACCCATACGACTCATCTCCTGTGTGGGACATGTACATGTGTATGTGCATTTGTGGCTGTACAGTGCGTCCCAGAAAAAACGAAAACGAGAATTATAGATGTTCATAATTGACAAATGACACATATTTGTAAAGCTTAGATCCTCCTCTTTCATTTGAAGCAACTCATACGATGCATATTTCACGCATAAGTAATTAAAAACAATTTGAAGAGAGGAAACTAAAAAGTCATGTTTAAAGTGTATCTGAATTTCGAAGAGAAAAATCACAATGCTAGAGAGTTCATATTCTGCCCTTCAATCAGGAAAAATGAGCCAGGAATAACAAAGTTCTGTTGGTTTAAAGTAATGCTTGCATTTCCATAATTTAATTAAACAAATTCGTTTTCACTGGCTGCCTGCAGTAACGGACAAACGGAGTTGACAAAAGACTCAACTCAGTTTTGTTGACGATCAGCCATGCATCAAGTCTTTCGTCTTCTTTGTCTTCTTATTTACCTATTTTGTTCCCTGTAATTTTGATTTTTGCTTTTCTATTGTACAAAACCTGTAATTTGGCTTTCGAGCCGCTATTGATTTTTATTTCACTAAACCATTACTACTACTATGTCTTGTAAGAGACTCACCTCTGGTCAACGCTTTATTACAAATCAAACACACATGAGACTTTTCTCCAGTGTGAATTGTCATATGATCTTAAGAGTAGCATTGCGTGGAAAGCTTTTGCTACAGACGGAACACTAATAGGGTTTTTCTTGAGTGTTGGTTTTCTTATGGAATTTCCTATGTCTCTTGAGATTGCCATGATTGGAAAAGCCTTTGTTACAAATGGAACACTGATTCAGTCCTGAATGGATTTTCATGTGTCTCTTTATATTGATAAATTTCTTGTTGCAAACTGTACACTGATGATACTTTTTAGCTGTGTGGGTTCTCATGTGTGCAGTCAGACCGCTCTCAAAGTGGTAGTCTTTGACACAAAAGGAACATTTATAGGGCCTAACTTCTTTGTGAAGTTTCACGTGCGCAAACAACTCAGATTTACTTGAAAATGACCTGCAACAAACACTACATCTATAAGGCCAATTTCCACAGCCAATTTCCATGTATCTTGGCAGAATGTTGCCTTTTCCTTTGGTATCATAATAACACTTAAGACACTTCAGAGGCTTCTCTTCTACATGAAATTTCATATGATCTCCAAGTTTTTCCTGGCATGAAAATGCGCAGCGACAACCGGCACACCAATAAAGCTTCACACCTGTTTCTTCTAATGTTTCAGAAGAACTTAATGAATATTCTGTTTTACAGACAGAACATAGAAATGGTCCTTTGTCTGCTAGGCATCCTTGGGGTTCGTACTGATTGTTTTGTGTTGTATCATGCTGGGAAGACTGAACAGTGTCTTGACTAGTACCGACACACTTATTTTCATGTTCTCTTTCACTCCCTGAATCTACGCAAAATTTCACGTCTCTAGCAATACCTTCATTCTTGTGATTACAAGTTGCAGGCTCAGTCATATCCTCTGTAGCTGAGCATTTTTCTTGAACATTGGGCACTTGGTACGGTATGGGGCAAGAGCCATACTCACTCTTGAAACTCGCTTTTTCAGATGAATCTGATTGGGTTCCTAACTGAGCTCGCGACAGGATAACTTCTAGATGTCTCTTATCATCATGTGACCTGTCACCTGACATTTCCTGGGTGTTTTTCATACTTCGATTGATGTCCTGCATACTTGAATTCCCACCTATACACAAAAAGCAAGATGCAATATCTAGCTTTCAGTTTAATAAGGAACAGCTTCAAAAGTTCATAAATATAAACGAGATGGTTATATTTGTCTATAAAGCCATTTTCCCAAATCTAACCAAATCATGTTCATGAAAATGTATGATGAAAAAGAAAGAAAAAAGATGCAGAAACCCATAAATCAAATAAAAATAAAATTTAATCAAATGCACCCTAAAATAGAATAGCAATAGAAAAGAGGAAACAAAAAAAGGGTTGGTATGTGCATCACAAACCTCAAAAATATCACAGATTAATGGGGAGCTGAAAAGGACTTTATTTCACACAAAGCTACATGTAAATTTTAGTAGAGGTGTCATAGTCCAACAGTATATCTCACCAGACTATAAAGGATCACATGGCTCGAGTCCCCCCATGGTATGTCATTTGGCAAGACATTCCCACTTTACACCCAGCTGTAGTAGGTGGGTACATGTTGGTAGATGTTAGGAATATTAAATCAATCATATTCTCCAGGGTTATGTGCATATAGAGAATAATGTGATCATTGATGTGGCTAATATTACCACTCGTACTACAAAAGCAAGAAAATATTCCCTAGCATACTTAAAACCGTTGCCTACATGAACTGGGTAGAAGAACCTATTGCCTGCAAGAACTGGTTGGGTGAACCCATTGCCTGCAAGAACTGGGTGGATGAACCCATTGCATTCAGGACCTGGTTGAATTAACCCATTGTCTGCAGGAACTGGATGGATGAACCTATTGCCTACAGGAACTGGGTGGATGAACCTATTGCCTACAGGAACTGGATGGATGAACCTATTGCCTACAGGAACCGGGTGGATGAACCCATTGCCTGCAGGAACTGGGTGAATGAACCCATTGCCTACAGGAACTGGATGGATGAACCTATTGCATACATGAACTGGCTGGATGAACCCATTGCCTACAGGAACTGGGTGGATGAACCTATTGCCTACAGGAACTGGATGGATGAACCTATTGCATACATGAACTGGCTGGATGAACCCATTGCCTGCAGGAACTGGATGGATGAACCTATTGCATTCAGGACCTGGTTGAATTAACCCATTGTCTGCAGGAACTGGATGGATGAACCCATTGCCTACAGGAACTGGGTGGATGAACCTATTGCCTACAGGAACTGGGTGGATGAACCTATTGCCTACAGGAACTGGATGGATGAACCTATTGCCTACATGAACTGGATGGATGAACCTATTGCATACAGGAACTGGATGGATGAACCTATTGCATTCAGGACCTGGATGGATGAACCTATTGCCTACAGGAACTGGTTGGATGAACCTATTGCATTCAGGACCTGGATGGATGAACCTATTGCCTACAGGAACTGGTTAGATGAACCCATTGCCTACAGGAACTGGATGGATGAACCTATTGCCTACAGGAACTGGGTGGATCCTGTATTAAGTCTATGGACATGAGAGAATTCAGTAATCGATTGTCAAGTGTGGGTTTTTATATGCACTTTACGGGTACTCCTTTCCCTAAAGCTCTTGTCACAGACAGAGCACGTTAAAGTTTTTTTCCGGTATGGATCCTTATGTGTTGTTTGAAATCATTTTTTTAACCAAACCTTTTCTCACAAACAGAACACAAATATGGCTTTTCTCCCGTGTGAATTTTCTGATGATCCGTCAGATGACTCCGTTCTGCAAACATTTTGCTACATATTGAACATTCGAAGGGTCTTTCTCCCGTGTGGATTTTTATGTGCCTTGTAAGGTGAGCGGTTTGGGAAAATGTTTTTTTGTTGCAAAATGAACATTCATAAGGCTTCTCTCCTGTATGGGATCTTATGTGTCTGGAGAGCGTATCAACACGACTAAATCTCACATCGCAGTACATACACTGATATCAAGTCTTTCGTCTACTTTGTCATGTTATTTACCTATTTTGTTTCCTATGAATTTTCCGATGTTGCGTGAGATTGCCATGGTTGGAAAAGCCTTGGTTACAAATGGAACACTGAATCAGTCCTGAATGGATTTTCATGTGTCTCTTTATATTGAGAAATCTCTCATTACAAACTGTACACTTATGAGACCTTTTAGCTGTGTGGGTTCTCATGTGTGCAGACAGACCTTTCTTATAGCAATATCCTTTGTCACAAATTTTACATTTATAGGGCAAAACTTCATTGTGCATTCTCGCATGCACACAAAACTTAGATTTAGTTGAAAATGACTTGCTACAAACAGTACATCTATAAGGCCTTTTTCCACAGCCAATTTCCATGTATCTCGGCAAAATGTTCCCTTTTCCTTTGGTATCATAATAACACTTAAGACATTTAAGAGGCTTCACTTCTGCATGAATTTTCATATGATCTCGGAGTTTTTCCTGGCATGAAAATGCGCAGCGACAACCGGCACACCAATAAAGCTTCTCACCTGTTTCTTCTAATATTTCAGAAGTAGTTAATAAATATTCTGTTTTACAGACAGAACATTGCAAAGGTCCTTTGTCTGCTAGACATCCTTGGGGTTCGTACTGCTTGTTTTGTGTTGTATCATGCTGGGAAGACTGAACAGTGTCTTGACTAGTAGCGACACACTTATTTTCATGTTCTCTTTCACTCCCTGTATCTACGCAAAATTTCACGTCTCTAGCTATACCTTCATCCTCGTGATTACCACTTGCAGGCTCAGACATACCCTCTGTAGCTGAGCATTTTTCTTGAACATTGGGCACTTGGTTTGGTATGGGGTTAGAGCCATACTCACTCTTGATACTCGCTTTTTCAGATGAATCTGATTGGGTTCCTAACTCAGCTCGCGACAGGATAACTGCTAGATGTCTCTTATCATCATGTGATCTGTCACCTGACATTTCCTGGGTGTTTCTCATACTTTGATTGATGTCCTGCATACTTGAATTCCCACCTATACACAAAAAAGCAAGATGTAATATCTAGCTTTCAGTTTAATAAGGAACAGCTTCAAAAGTTCATAAATATCTTTAAGATGGTTATATTTTTCTATAAAGCCATTTCCCCCAAATCAAGGGGTATAATAATAATAAAATCGTTGCTCATAAAGCGCTTACCAACGAAGTCCCTTAGCGCTATAACAAACAAAATAGACTGATAAACAATAACAGATTAAACGAAACAAAAAAGTGCAAATAAACCTACAAATTACCATATATATGAAATACACTTTAATGTGAACAGAGTAAGTTAATCATCAAAAGCAATGTTAAAAAAATGTGTCTTAAGACAATTAAGTTTTGAATTGGTTAAAAGTTTGACATTTAATAGTAGTTTGTTCCAAAGTTCAGCAGAAGCTTTGCAAAATAGTGATGACCATAAGACAGAGTTGACACCGAAGTAGACACAAGGTTTAATTGTGAAGATGACCATAGATTGCATGAGGGCTTGTAATGCACCTTAAAATAAAATAGCAATAGAAAAGAGGAAACAAAAAAAGGATAGGCATGTGCATCACAAACCTCAAAAATACCACAGATTAATGTAAACATTGCTGTGGCTAATCTAACCACTCCTCCTACAAAGGCAAGAAAATGCCCCCTCACATACTTAAACCCATTGCCTGCAGGAATCAGGTGGAACCTGCATTAAGCCTATGGGCATAAGAGAATAAGCCAGTTCACGGTTGCAGTCTGAGCATGAGCAGATAAAGGTCATTGCAAAACAAATTATGAAATACACAGAGACAAAATATTGGATACGTGCTCTTGAAAGTTAAGTAATCGTTGTTCATTCATGCACAAGCAGTGCACTCCATGTTACACAGGTGGAAGTATTCTTTGAAAAGGGGAAACAAAGATTATTTATGTACATGTAGCACCTCCATCGCTGTAGGAGTTTGAAAACGTACAAAGTGGGACCTCTTCATGTTTTAAAGATCTGTGGATATTCGGGGTCATTGCAGAGATGTGCTAACCGTGAACTGGTCTATTCAGTTATCAATTGTCAAGTGTGGGTTTTCATATGCACTTTACGGGTACTCCTTTCCCTAAAGCTCTTGTCACAGACAGAGCATGGATAGGGTTTTTCTCCGGTATGGATCCTCATGTGTCGTTTGAAATCATTTTTTTTACCGAACCTTTTCTCACAAACGGAACACAAATATGGCTTTTCTCCTGTGTGAATTTTCTGATGATCTGTCAGATGACCCCGTTCTGCAAAGGTTTTGCTACATATTGGACATTCGAAGGGTCTTTCTCCTGTGTGGATTTTTATGTGCCTTGTAAGGTGAGCGGTTTGGGAAAATGTTTTGTTGCAAAAAGAACACTCGTAAGGCTTCTCTCCTGTATGGGATCTTATGTGTCTGGAGAGCGTATCAACACGACTAAATCTCACATCGCAGTACATACACTGATATGGCTTATCCCCTGTATGGGTTTTCATGTGCACATCCAGACTAGTCCTCCGGGCATATATCTTATCACAAAATTTACACCCATATGGCTTTTCTCCCGTATGAACCGTCATATGCTGCGTGAGATGACTACTTTCATTAAATCCTTTGTCGCAAACTGTACACCGATAAGGCTTTTCACCTGTGTGGATTCTCAAGTGTCTCTTTAGACCATTCCCGTACAGAAATCTCTTGCTGCAAAATGTACACTCATGGGGCTTCTCTCCTCCATGAATTCTCATGTGCCTAGACAAACTAGTCCTGAGGGTAAATCCTTTGCTACAAACACAACAGAGAAATGGTTTTTCTTCAGTTAGGCTGCAGCTAGGATCATTTTGATCGCTTCCTGTTGCACAAAGTTGGGAAGACTGATTGATCATCTCATCATATTCCATCTCGATGTCTTCATTCCTATCTTGATCCATTCCTCCAGGTTTATGATATGACCCGGTAGCATCCAGTGTCTCTCTGTCACCTGCTCGTTTTTCTTGAAAATAAGCCACTTGGCTTGGTATGAGACAAGAGTCATACTCACTTGTGCAACTCCCTCTTTCAGATGAACCAGATTGAGTTCCTAAGTAAGCTTGTAATGGGAAATCCTCCGGAAGATGTCTCCCACCTAAGCACAAAGAGCAAGATGAAATATTTAACTTTGATTTTAAATGGAAGCTTCTCAATTAAGTTACATGTACATGTTTGTGCACAGACAACTGCAACAGGGCACAGGTGTTCATGTGAAGTCAAAAGAGATAAATTTCAATGGTTAAGAGTTAAGTTTCCTGCAATTTCATTTTGGTATGAAATTAACTTTGTTTCCCCCAACATTAGAAACAACAATCATTTTCAGGATATGACACCAGAATTCAAACTGTTGCATGCTATTATTACCACCATCACTATTCACTATTATTATCATTATTATTACTATTATTATGACATTCACTGTCATCACCATCATTCTTTTTCATTGTTGCTTTCATCGTATCACATTTTTTAGTAGGGCAAGGTAAAAAGCATACATGTAGCAACATACATTAATGTATCCCCTTTCATCCCTATGCATAATCACTGATATTGAGATACAGGAATGTAAAGTGCACTCAGATGATTTTGTTTCATCTTTCTTTTAATACCAAGGTGGTCTGAATGGTCGTTGATACAAACCTTGTTTGCTACATGACGGTGATGTTGCCTGCAGAGCGGTCCCTTCATCATCATCATCAGCACCGTCACTATCCACAGGTTCTTCCTTTATAAAGCATGTAAAAGTCTGGTGGTCAGCTTCTTTTGATTGTTGGGCCTCCATCTCCTTAGCATTATCATCCTCCGTCCAACCATCTTCTGAATCTGCTTCCTGCACGGGATCAGTATGAAATCGTCTCTGAATTTCTTCTCCATGCTGACCTTCTTTCAAGTGGTCTTCCTCAACCACAGACTTCTTAGTTCTTTCTAATGACTGTTGCTCTTCCGATACTTCTTGGGCATCATTCTCTGTCCAGTCATCTTCCAAGTCTTCTTCCTTCACGATGTAGGTCTTGTATGATTCCTCTGGTGACTGAGGTTCCTCTTTGATCTCACTCTTGATCACTTCCAAACTGGTCTTCTTGTCTGCCATGATTCTGTGAAAGAGATTAACAATACATTTTTTTTGTTAAACTTTGAGGAAAATCTATAGACTATACTACATTGTATATAGTTAAAGAGTCAGTACATTTAAATTCCCATGGAAATTTACAGTCAACTTCTCATAAGACAGAGTTAATGCTAACTTATTCATACTTGAATAGATTCTTCTTCTTAACAAAGAAACAGGATAATGTCACAGATACAGTCACATTAGGACAGTCACAGACACAGTCACAAAACTCACTTTACATTTATGTATCGTTAATATGACCATTTTCATAAAAGAGTAGATCTTAGCAAAGTCTGCAAGATACAGCTCTAGATCTACACATGCTACACATGCTAAAAAGACGAGTGCCTGTACTTTTTTTCTCCTTTTATTTTTGAAGGGGGGGGGGGGGGGTGAGTCCCAGAAGACCGGTAGAGCTTGAAACAAAGACAAAGGCAAAGAAACTTGTCAAATGGACAACAAATAATGCGAACAAGACTAACATTGTGGATATATGAAAGTCGACAGCATGCAAATATACAAGACAACAGATAAACATGAAGGACTAAATTTCTAAAACAAACATAAAATCTGTCTCCTTTTTGCAAATACACGGTTCAGTGAAATATTAACAGCGATGTGGGCCTTGTACAACTCGCCCCAAACAAACTCACGGTAGGGTCTGGATTTATACTGCAGTTTAGTTTTATGTGCAGCATCTTTAATTTAGAGAATTCAATTAAAGGGGAATTAACCTCTCGACTACGAAGCATTATCATGACATAGAGAGTAATACGTTTCATTTGATAAAAAAAGCATTGCTTAAGGCCAAATAATATTGTCTTGCAAGTACAATGAAGAGACTCTAATTGTATCTACGACGACGTCTGCTCCCCAAGGAAGCTGCCATTTTGTTGTAATTTCCCTTAAAGGCAGGCTTTACTACTTCAGCCAGAAAGGATTAGACCACCCGGCGAGCCAGCGAGGTCACTGTGACAGGTGGCTAACTCGTTAACTCAGCTCTCATTTAACATAAGAAAAAAGAGGATCATGGGGGACCAACAGGCACCGATTGGGGAAGTTTTCTATATACATGTAGAGGGAGCAAGTAGCTACAAATAGGACAGTGTGCCTTTAAAAACCTCTGGGCTGTGACGTATTGCAATACACGTCATATATGCATGGTGCTTGGTTGTAATAATAGTTCCTCGAAAAACCAAGGGGGAAGTTGTTTCATCGGTTTCCACACCAACACTATCGCAATCACATATTCAAGCTATATAGGTAGCGCAGCTCTGAAGGTGGAGAAATTTCCGGACAAAGAAAGACAGGAAAGACGATGTGATCTATAGTGATCATTTTACAGTTAACAGCAGGGAAACGAACGTACGCAATAGCGGTCGAATCCATGCGATACGTCACAGATCGGGCCGTGAATAAAAAACAATGGCAACGTTCAGAAAATTCCCACAGCCACAAAAGACGAAGGATTCTGAAGAAGAGTTACATCCTCCTTTTTGTCAAATGTATGATGTTTTTATATTGTCAGATGTTTTAAATGGCCTACAAACTGAAATTATCATGCAGTTTGAGGTTAATTCCCTTCAAGAAATGGTCATGATGATTTTGATTTGATTTGATTTGATTTATTATTCAAGTTCAATGGTACATAATTGCATGAAGTAAAATGATGCTTTAAAATGAAAACATTAAAAACTTGATAGGATGACGCTACTGCGGTGACATTCTCTCCCCGTTAAGCATTTGTAATTGTTACAACTAACCTTTTCCCCTCCTTTGCCAGAACTGTCCCCGGCCTGTTACACATAGGCATGCCAGTCTTATCAACATTGTAAACTCTTTCTGAGTGTTGGTGAAGCCCTTCTCGATCCATAACGGCACCAAGACGAGCAAAGTACTGTCCCACAACTTCTCTGTACACTCTGCGGGCCCTTGCCTTGGATGACCCTTCAGCCTTTCTGGGTTTGATTCTAGGGTGGCGTTTTAAGAAACCCTCTATCCAAAATCGACCAGCTTTGCACGTATCTTTATTAAAATCATGTTTAATGTTATTTCTCTCAGCAAACTCATACGCTAAACAGCATAAATCGTCTTTAGTCAAGCCTAACCCCCGTGACTCAAATTCAAGGATCATATGTTCTAGTTCAGCCTCTTTCTCAAATCCAAGCATTGGCTTCCTCCCAAAACGAGGTGGCCTAATGGGAAGGGCATCATGTGCATAGCTCAGCTTGACTCTAGCTGCTAAGGTTGACCTTGGGATGTTGAACGTGGTAGCTGCTATTCGAAGGCTCATTCCATTCTTGCAGGCATTGAGAGCACTTTTCAGGACTTCTGGGGTCCATGATCCACGCTCCGTTTTCCGAACGTAGTTACACGGCATCTATGGATGTAAAAAGTACCATTGTAGTGACCAAATGTCATGATTTTTTAACTTTTGCATGTATAATAACGTTTTACGAGTTTTATGCAATGATTTGTTCATGTTTATAACTAGGGAGAATTAATTTCCCTTGTGTGGTATTTTCCAACTCCGCAGTCTGGCTTTTCAGTCATGTTTCAACCGGTTCTGTCTGGTTCGTAAATATATTCTATTATGATGAAGCTAGGGGTTTATTTTCATGGTATCGTATACACATATTTAAAATGACCAATCACGCCACAGTGGTGATTGTGGCTTTGCTTTAATTTTCCATGTCGAATTCAGAGGGATTTTTTTATCGGTACACACAGGTCGTTAAATCAGCGTTTTATTTATAGTGCCGGTCGAATTAACTTTCGTTCAATGAGGACTCATGCAACGACTTTGTCCCCGCGTGGACCTCTCCCATTTGACTTGCTCACAAATTAAACACCTTACATTTTTGCAAAATTTATGTTCGACTCTTTTGCACTTCATTGCGTCGCCTTTTTTTCAACTCGATTCGTGCGGTGAGAATAGAACATTGTTGATGATCTATGGTTTTTCTCACCGACACCCTGCATTTAATTGTTTGGACAACTGTTTATCACCGACTCAGTATCTTTTATCTGTTTTTTTGATCGCCTTCATCTGATGAGTTTTGTTGACGCATTGATTGTCGTCGTCATCACCTCACCATCATATCAACTGTATCATCAACGACATCATTTAGGGTTTGTTTTACCTGTCTCTTCGTGCACGTCTAAGGGAGCCAGTTAAGGCTTGGTGATATCAATATCATATTTTACATTATCACCAAAACCAGTCGCTCAAAGGTTTTTAATTTTTTGAGCCGCTTCTTGATCATTTTGAAGTGCAATTTTGTTAGGGCTTCAATATTACACTATATCACAGACACTGATAAAACGTAGGGCCGTGCATCTCAGATTTAACATTGTTAAACGATGCCTTTAATGCTATGCCAGACGGTTATTTCTGTCTCCTAGAGTCCTCCCTACCTAATTGTTGTAGTTGTACTTTTTCTGTCCTTCTCTCCTGCTTCTTGTTCTGTGTATCTTTTCCTTTTCGCCAGCTTGGAACTCCCTTAAAAACCTTTCTCTTTCCTTTCCTGGGCATATATTTGTTTAATGCTTCAAATACAGTTTCCAACAACAAATTTGATCCAAAATGGGATAAATTGACCTGCAATCTTGAGTCCAGTGAAGGACAAAAAAAATCATAGTACAAAAAAGAGCAACAAAAATTGTACCAGAGATAAAACACCAAAGCTACCATGAGAGACTTGAGAGTTTGAAGCTTCCCTCACTTAGCCACCGCCGAGGAGACACGATTCAGGTGTACAAGTTGATGCAGAACATTGACAGGTTGGACTCTACCCGATTCTTCACACCTGCAATCAATTCAACGACGAGAGGGCATGCTTTCAAACTGACCAAACACAGGTGCAACACCAAACTCAGGCAAGATTCGTTTATAGCCACAGGTTCCTCAACAACTGGAACTCCCTCCCTGAGTCAGTAGTATCTGCAACCTCGGTAAACAGTTTTAAAGCCAGACTTGACAAACACTGGCAATCTTGGATCTATTGCGTGTGATGTACGTATGCCTACATGAAGGCCTACAAGTGCAGATTTTTTTTTGATAAAAACAATATTTGTATCAAAGAGAATTCTCCATCTGTTGGTTATTGAATTTTTAGTTTGTATTACTAAACAATTAAATTGCCACCTTATTGTCTGTTTACGATAGCACTGTCCTTCATAATGAAAAGGCTTCTAATCGAAAGAGACACTGCAAACGTCAATAATTTGATGGGAAATTCATTGATCAGGATTTGATTTTCCCCTGAACAATAGGGTACACCCCTTTCCCACGCCACAGAAGTGTCAAGTTTGTTTATACTGATGCATATTTTTTCATTATAAAGTTTCCATCCAACCTCCTTTAAGAGAGTATATTAATGCTGATTACCGGTAAAACAATTGATATACAAATCCTTGAAATTAACTGTTTTACTACATGTACTTCCGCGGTTTTATAAAAATGAGATGGTTCTGACTTTTGCAAGACTATTTTGAAAGTAAGAAAGAATATTAAAGACAAAAAAGAAATCCAACGCCGGGGAAATACATTGATTTCCTAGATACTTTTAGTTGCTGTCATCCCTTTTCGGAATTGATTGCGAATGTGGAAAAAATGACTCCACCAGGAATCGAACAAGGGTCACTGGCTATTAGAACACCAATGTCTTGACCATTGGACCAAGGAGACGGGCCAGAATATAACAGGAATAAATACATTTACATTCATATTTCAAAATTATAAATGCGAGATATAATTACGGCAACACTTGTACAGTAAAATGAACTCTTTAAGATTGAAGAAATCAAATTAACACTTTACCCGCACAATCGTATGAATATCATGATACAAAGGATAATCGACATGATTGATATTACATGTACATGTACATATTAACTAGGCCTGAGTCGGTACGGTCGATCACACCGGGACCCGACCGTTGCCGTCGGGTCCCGGTTTCGTTTTTTGAGAACCGACGCTCCGAAAAAAATAATGAAATATGTAAGAAATTGCAGTTTTGCACACCACTAAAATCAATCCACCTTAAAACTTAAGTATTTAATTAGCTCATCCTGAATCAATCCGAACTGCTGATATAAATATGGGTTGCAAAGCAGTTCGCCCCATGGGGTTGTTGTTGCCAGCTGCTAGCTAGCTACTGTACTGGCCGGGTCGCGACTTTGCGTTTTACACCCTGGCCTGGACCTTTTCCCAATAAATTTCAAGGAACCGACTGGGAAAAGTCTATCCATGACAAGATATTGTGCGCGCACGTAGCTCTTCTGCAATGCTCAACGTACGTCCTATATGTCCAGTGTCGCGGTACGCGGTACATGTACTTTTGTATCGAGACGTACGAGTGAGAGAAAAACAACGAATAACAACAGAAGGAAATAGAGAAAAACAATAAATAATTAAAGAACAGAGAGGAAACAAAGAATGTCATAAGCAGAAAGAGAAAACAAAAACTAACTTGAAAGAAAGAGAGAAATTAGAGAAGGAATTAATCAAAGTAAGGAAAGAGAGAAACCAAATAATATTATGGTTTTTGTGGTTTAATTCCGCCTTCTTCAGGGTTTCAATTTTTGACGTGTAGCCTACTTTCAAACCATTTGCTGATTCGGACCCCCCCCCCCCCTAACACACGTGTACACATATCGACACATACACAGACTACACTCGACATAATATGTGTAATGGTAATGTAATACATAAACTGTGATTTAAATATTGCACTCGTACCATTTTCTATTATTGTGGGATCACGTCTTTCATTTTTTAAATTCATGTCATTTGTTTCTAAGACCTAATTTCTCTAATTCTCTTGACCCCTCTCCCTTCATATTTGTTTTCTAAGACCTCCCCCCCCCCCTTCATCTCTCTTCATATTTGTTTTCTAAGACCCATTTCTCCCCCGCCCCCCCCCCCCCATCTCTATTCATATTTGTTTTCTAAGACCTCTCTCTCTCGACCCACTCTCTCTCTCGTATGTATTTCTCAGACCCCTCTTTCTTTCTCTCTCATTAACCCCCTCTTCATATTTGTTTCTAAGGCCTCTCTCTCTCTCTTCATATTTGTTTCTAAGACCCCCCCCCCCCTCTCTTTCTCATTTCTTGATATTTGTTTCTAAGACCTCTCTCTCTCTAGCTCTCAATTCATGATATTTGTTTCTAAGACCCCCTCTCTTTCTCACTTCTTGAATTCATATTTGTTTCTAAGACCTCTGTCTCTCTCTCCCTTTCTCTCTTTCTCATTTTAAATTCATGATATTTGTTTATAAGACCTCTCTTTCTCTCTTTTTCCATTCATCACTTTGTCTAGTGTAATGTACAGACACATAACATGATACACCAGTTTTACATGAATTCATTTGCACTTTATTTACTGCTTTACATTCATAAACTTTTTTTTTTCGTGAAGGTAATCTAATCCTTCAATGTCAGAGAAGTAATACAAAAGATACAGGAGTATGTGTATGCATAAATAGTTATATAAAGAAGAAATATGTAGTAAAAGTGAAAGCAAACAATAGTAGAAATTTGAACAGATAATTTGACAGTGTGTTAAGATTTAGATGCAAGAAATGACTATAAGAAATTTTTATTTGAAAATACATGCACATGTAGATAAAAAGAGATCTGAACATAGGCGGATTCATGGGCGCAGAGGCGTGCACCGCACTTTACTTTGTAGATAACGAACTGAATACACATAATAATGGATGATACGTGAAAATAACTGGCGCGCCCGATCGAGGAGCGTAGACTAGACTCATTCAAGCAGTTTCATTGCTATTTACCGGGAAAATGTCCAGGCCAGGGTGTAAAACGCAAAGTCGCGGCCGGGTCGCGAATTTTTTTTCCGTACTCGAGAGGGCAAATACCCCATGTGCGCATGCGCGTGGACTTGTGATTTCTCTGCTACTTCCCATACGAAATGTACATGTATTCGCATGTACTGTGCACGATTCGCGTTCTACGAGTAAACGATGGCATAGTAGTCTTCAAACACAGACTCTGATTTGCCAGTTTGACAAATCAATATGCGTATGTGTCGCGATGTGCTTATTCAAGTCTGTGTAGTTGTATGATTCAGACCCAGTAGTGCATATGGAAATACATTGCAACTTGTATAGAATGGTATAGTAGTCTGCAAGCACAGACGCTAATCTGACAGTTTGACAACATACTAGTAGTGTGCTGAGAAGTACTTTATTCAAGTCGCCAACTTGTATAGAATGGTATAGTAGTCTGCAAGCACAGACGCTAATCTGACAGTTTGACAACATACTAGTAGTGTGCTGAGAAGTACTTTATTCAAGTCTGCGTAGATGTATGATTCAGACCCTACTGGTGCGTGCGTTAGAAATGCATCTCAAT